TTACACAAATTTATTATAAAAGTTATAACTCAATGAATAAATCATAAATATTCAAAGTAATAAGCAAGTGTCGTAAATCAAAAAGATTAGTTGTCTTTAATTTCTAATGATAAATAAGTATTGAAAAAAGGATGAATAAATATAAAATGTTTGAATAATATTATATATTTTATTATATAATATTTTGAAAAAAATTTAAACCTAAAATATAAATATAAATAGATTTTATATTTATAAATATCATTCATATTTTTGTAAGTAAATAAATTATTAATAAAAAATAAAAAATTAAATGCTCTTAAGCAAACTCTATTGTTTCTCCAAAAACGATCAAACAATTTGAAACTTTTAGTGTTATATTACATCTTATTAAATTATATAAATGCCAAACTTTATATGCCAGTTATATTTTAATCTTAAATATTATTCATCAACCATATTTTTATCCTTTTTTTTATTTATCTTGATTAATTAGATGCCATGATTTAAATAAAACCTCAGGGAGAAATCAAGTTTTACTTTTTATTTTAACTTTTTTGTTTATAATGTTTATTTTTGTTTTTTTTTTTCTCAAATTTTTAATTTATCTTATTATCGTTTTTTTCATTTTATATTTTTTAAATCATAAAATAATTGTTTTTTAAATTATCATTTATTCATTCAATAATACAAATTTGATTTTTATTCAATAATATTTAGAGTAAATTAATCAATTTAAAAGTCGTAAATGTTGAATTTGGCTTTTATAAGCTTATTTCATATCAAGAATTTATGTAATTTTTTATTAATGTGGTATTATAAATTTTAAAATGCTTATCTTATTTTATATAAAAAAATGTTCTCTAAATATTCTAGAAAAATGAAAATTGTTTAATTAATTAATAAAATTAGAAGTTGACTAAAAAGATTAAATTAATATATATGACTATTTAAGTAATTACAAGCTTTAAATTAACTTATTTTTTGATTAGAATAAAAATATTATTTTAACATTTAAAAAATTTTTTAAATTAAATAAATAAATATAAAAAGAATATTTTTTGAAATCAATATTTTTTATTGCTTTTATTTTTAGAATAAATGAATAATAAGTTTAAAATAAAAAATGAAATATATTATTCATTTATTTAGTTAGTTTTTTTCTCATTTATTTTATTAATTAAAATCAGTTTCTGATAATCAAAATAACAAAAAAATAGATTTAAAAATTTTTTGTTGCTTTTAAGAATTTCAAAATTTAAAAATAGTTGGAATGTTTTTCTTAAAAAGATTTGTTTAATAACGTTAAAATGTTAAAATGGTAAAGTTGGATATGAATTTATTTATTACCTTTGGTTAAGCGAAATTGATTGATAAATAAATAGATATAATTTTGAGAATCATCACAAATTATATTGAGAAATTAATCTTTTTTCTTTCTAAAATCAAAAAGTTAATAAATAACAAATTAATAAACAAAGAAAGAAAGAAACAAAAAAACAAATAAATTAATAAATAAATAAATAAAAATATAAAGCATCTTTTTTGATTATAGTAAAGGAAAATGACAGATACTTTACTGCCACCAGTAATGTATAATAAGAATAGCTAAGGGAATAATAACTAGATAATAGGATAAGGTAATTGTGGTTTGAACGTTTAATATAATAATTAAAGTATGCTATCACATGTTGATTCTGAGGTTTCCAAGTATAACTCATCTAGTGAGTCACCAATGATCAAAAGAAAAAAGCTACTAAAACAATTAGATTAATCTTTTTTTATTAGATTGCTACAACTTGAGGAGTAGATAAGCAAAAAATATTTAACTAAGGAGATAATTAATGAAATAGTGAATCTCTATGCGAAATGTGTGGAGTATTACGACTCCATTTAAGATCATATTAAAATATATTTTCTTGAGAAGATACAAATAACGCTCAGCAGCATAGAATCTTTGAGGGTTATTTACAGCTCAGATGAGAATTCAGCTTAAAAGACTTAGAGCAAGTATTAGAATTAATCAGATACTCCAAATTATAGCTAAAAAAAGAAAAAATAGAATAATATCTAGAAGAATAAACTCACTATTAATAAATTTTAAACTGAAAGTTCTCTCAATACAGATCAAAAAAGTTAATAATATTCATCTTACAATGAATAATCTTCAGATATTCAACTCAAGTCAAATAAAAACTAAATTCCTAATTGTGCATCAAAATCAAAGATAGAAAATGTTTAAGTGAGCGATTTTTTTTCTCCAAAACCATCTTAGCAGACAAATGGGTTATTGTAAAATAAAACCAGCCAAAAAATAATAGCAGATTTAATTAAAAGCAGCAGTAGCAAATAAAGAAAACTGGAAAAATAAAATTAAAATTCCCTTTAGAAAAATGAATAGTTGCAAGATTTGAAATTGAATTAATTTAAGCAAACAGATACTTCTCCAAGTAGTCTTGTGGCTTTGAATTAATCTTCGAGAAAATCTATTCATTCTAGCAGATGCTCATCTTTGACCAAATAAAGTCCAAGCTTAATTAAAAATATTTAGGATTTTCAAAGCTCATTTTAAAACAACTAAAGCAGCTACATGAAAGAAAGTTTTCTTGAAGAAGACAGTTGCCTTGCAAACAGAAACAGACTAAGATTTACATTGAATCCTAACAACTTTTTACAATGTGACTTGAATATCTCTGATTTAAATCCTGATTTTAGCCTCACAAATACCTCTCATAATTCCAGAATAGATATCAATGCCGGCAACGAAGAAAAAAACTCTTGCAATAAATCTAAATTAATCGAGCATGGCAAAGCTCTTTTCAATAAAAATCTAGAGAGACAATTCTTAAACAGCATAAAATTCAGCTAATTTGAAAATTAAAATGTCATCCCAAAGCAAACTTCATAAAGTGAAGTACAAGACCTTTTCTTCCGTCCTTCCCCCTCAATCCCTTCAAACAACAAACCGAACTAAGAAGAAAGAACTATCTTAGGAGTGATAAAATAAAATACAAATAACAATTAAGAAACTACAAAAAGCTAAGTTAAAAAACCAAGTTAAAACTTAAATTAGCTATTAGAAGACGTAAAAATTAATAATTTTTAAAAAATAACTCATTAATTTATTTATTTATTTGGCTTTATAGAGTAGCTAAAGAGTGAGATAAAAAGACAAAGAAAATCAAGCAACACTTGTAAAATTAACAAAATTTATATTCAATGTTTATTTGTCATTAAATAAAAACAGAAACAAAGCAAAAGTCTAGTCAATTCAAACAGTAAAACAAATGAAAAATCTGGATCAACTACCCTAAACAGCATCAATGAATATTCAATCCAATAGAAAAAAATTGAAAGGGCAAAGAGATTTTCTATGTTCATAACCATGCAAAATTAAAAAAAGCAAAGAGTCATTAAGCAAGATTTCAACAATATTTTAAATAGATTTGAGCAAGATGCCATCTAAAAAGATCAAATAGTCAAATCTGATATCGATAACCAAATGGAAATTTTAAAAAAAAGGCTTTAAGACAGAAGTAATTTTATAAACAATTAATCATTTTTATTTATTTATTTTATTAATTATTTATATGTTTGTTTACTTACTTACTTATTTATTAATAAATTTACTTATTTTGTTTTTGTTGATTAAAAAGAATCGAAAAACATTTAGGATAAAGTTATGAAAGACATTTAATAAAGATAGTCTTCTATAAAAGATTTATTTGAAAATGAAAATTACGAAAAGGAATTAAGAAATGGACTTCATACAACAAGGTTTTGAACTAATTCAATATATATTTAGGATTAGTATGTTCTCTACTCTATATGCTCATTAATTATTATCTAAAAATTGAAAATTTTATTATCATAATTTGAGAGAATAAAAATCAGCAATCTCAGAAAATTAAAGATCAGAAATGAGATCTAATAATGAAGTTTTACATTATTTTAATATGTTAAACATAAAATATATAAAGCAGCTAAGATAATAATAATTTAAAAAAATATTTCAAATTTCATATTTATTAATTAAAATATTTTATATTTATATTTATTTGTAAAAAAGTTAAATTTTAAAATTGTTAATTGTGTATTAATTTAAACCAATCAACCAACTAATTAATTAATTAAAATTGTTGAAATGATATTTATAAATATATATCTATGCCAATTACATAGATTCAAAGAAATAAATAATAATAAATGATTTCTTATAATAAGAATTTAATTATTAAAATGACCTTTTATATTTTTTTATTTTAACATTTAATTTGTTCATTCATGTTATTGAAAATGATAAAAAAATGTATATCTCTGTTAGTAATAAAAATGTAGATAAATTGTAATTAAATAAATAATAAAAAATAATATCTAAAATATAGAAATTAACCTAATAAAATCTTGAATTTACGACCTAGAAATTTTTAAAAAATAATTTTTTATTATTTGAATTAATAAAGATAAATAATATTGTAAATTTAAAGCTTAATTTGGAGAAAATCTAAAAAAATAAATGGAATAATTCAAGTTTGTTTTACTTATGAAAAAAGAAATCGTTAAAAAGAAACTTAAATAATAAAATTAGAATAAAAACCATTTTAACATATATATTAACATTTTAGTTGTGAGTTTGTGGAGCAAACAGATTTTATTTAGAAATAAATTAGAATTAAAGATATTTCTTTAAATAGATGGAATATGATTTGCTTTTGGAATAATTAAGAAACAGATAGATAGATATCGATTAAAATAGCGCTTGTTTGTTTATACATAAATTAATAAATTGTTAAATTTAAATAGAATTTGATTAAAATAAAATTATCTTTGTTCAATTATGATTAGACAATTTAGAATTTTTTTGAATTAGGCAAAAAATAGCACTAGTTTCAAGTAGCGTTTCAATTTTTCGAATATGGTGAATCCATATTCTGCATTAAACCATACTTTACTAAAGAATATTTACATTTTCAAATAAGAAGAGGGATACTGTGGTAATTAGCTGATTTTTTTGTAGCAAATATTATCATAATAGATCATTCCAAAAATAAATATGAAATAATTCAAACAAATAAATAAATAGGATATATCATTAAAGACGATGAAACCAATTCTTTAGTTTGCGTAGATCCAGGTAGATTCGATGTTGCTGTTGAACATGTCAAAATTATGGAATCTCAATTGAAATGCAAGTTAACTCACGTTTTATGCACCCACAACTTTCACATGAATAAAGATACTCATAAATTTTTAACCTATAACGATGGCGTCAAGATCGTTGCTGGTAACCAAGGAGAAAATATCACTTTCCACAATTAAATAGCTTATGATATAAAACCATTTAATATCGGTGAGTTAGCTGTCTGCTACTTGTACACTCCTGGTCACTCTTCCGACTCCTTTACAATAGCTATCACTCAATGTAATGAGAATTCTACTAAACTTCCTATTATCTTCACTGGTGAAACACTATTAATAAGGTAACCAAATTTAATACTAAAGTCCATCAATAAATTATATTATAAGTCATAAAAATGAATACAAGTATTACAAGCAATAAAAATTCATGCAAAAGTTATTAGTTAACACTGTATTAAAGAATAAATAAATAACAATAACTATTTGAATTAATATGAATAAATCAAAGATAAATTGATTGAATTTATCGATTGATACTAATAAATTTTGAAATCATTTTGCTAATAAAATAATTATTTTTTTTAATTGATAAATAAATAAACTAATTTTATTAATAAAATAATTGTTTCAATTTATCAACTAATTTTACTCATAAAATAATTGTTTTTAATTGATAAATAAACTAATTTTAATAACAAAGTAATTACTTTCAATTGATGAACTAATTTTGTTAATGAAATAATTGCTTTTAATTGATAAAAAAACTCATTTTATTAATGAAATAATTGCTTTTAATTGATTAATAATTAATTAATTTCTTTTTTAATTGATAAAAAAACTTATTTTGTTAATGAAATAATTGCTTTTAATTGATTAATACTTAAATAATTGCTTTTAATTGATAAATAAACTTATTTTGTTAATGAAATAATTGCTTTTAATTGATTAATACTTAAATAATTGATACTAATTTTATTTTTTAAATTAGCTCTATTGGAGATATCTAACCTAATGGACATAAATAAATGTTAGAAACTATTTTCAAATTGAAATCTTTCCCCAATGAAACTTTGCTTTTCCCCTCTAAAGACGGATAACTTGAAGATCTTTTATTTGCTAAGAGCTTGGATCCAGGTAATCCAGTAATAAACTTAAAAATATAGTTGGCCAAGCAAGCTATAGAAAAGAAAACACATATTTTACCTTCATCTTTATTAGAAGAAAAGAACTGCAACCCCTATTTAAGGTTGCACGATAACTAAATTTTAAAAAATGCCAACGCTAGAAACCCTACAGACGCATTAAAAAATCTTAAAAGCTTACAAAATACATTTTATAACTCTTCAAAGTGAATAAATAATTTTTTAATAATTGCTAGCTATTTAACTATTCTTATTTTCTCTTGCTTATTAACTTAAATGTTTGTTGTTTTTACTCTAAAATAATATCATTAATATTAAATACATTTTCTTAAAACTATTATTTATTATATTCTAAATAAATTCAACTTCAATTTTATATTTAAATCTACTCATACTAAATAAACAAATCACAAATAAATAAATATACTATAAATCCTCATTAGTTTAGTAGCAATTAAATAAATATAGCACTATGCAATTTTAAAAAATAGATTCAAATTAGCTAATAGTCATCAGTAATTTTTCCAGTAAATAACAATAGGAGAAACAACATTATATTAAAACAAACATAAATAAAATCCATTTAAAAAAAATCAGACAGTAAATATATAAATAAATAAAATGAAATTTTATATTTTTTGAGATTAGAATAAATAATAATTTAGCTTACAGTTTATCCAAATAGATTCTAAGTATGAAAACAAACAAATAAATAAATAGTTATTTTAGTGAATTTATTTTATGCTTTTATTAAATGTTCTACTTATATTAAAAATTAATTAATTTTAATGAATTTCAAGATAATTAATTTTTATAAAAAAAGATTAATAAAAGAGAAATACTAAATAAATTACTTTTCATCTAAACAAAGTAGAAGTTTTACAAAAATAGGAAGATAAATAAATAAATGAATTTCATCAAAAGAATAGATTTCTTTGCTTTGCCATTTAGTTTTTACTTAGGTAAGTAATAAGTAAAAAAAGGTACTTTATTAGGAATGTTAATGTCATTTTCCATCGTAGCGATTGTTCTTAGCTATCTAGTCTATTTGATGCTTTTATTGTTTAATAGCAAAATTGATCCAAAGTTTAGATCTCAAATATTCATAACAGATGAAACAACAGAGGTTTCTCTTTAAGATGATCTATTAGCGTTTCACTTTTAGTATACAAAGTAAATAACTTTAGATGCATACTAAAAACAAATGAATAAAACTTATCTAGTTCCAGTAGCTTACTTTTTTTACTATGGCGAGAATACAACAACTATTTAACTTAATATCACTAAGTGCTCTAATAGCGATCTTTAAGACTATAGCTGTATAGATTATTCAAATGTTTTAAATTATACATTAATGTAAAATGGAAAATAAAATGTTTAAACTAAAATTTATTTGCTAATCTTTGCTTGTCCTACTATTAACGACTTCAAAACGACTGTACCAGATAATTGTGCCAGCTAAGATGAAATAAATGATTTTGTGAATAGCGAATAAGCAGGTTTAAATCTGAAGCTATACACTTCTCAGTACAATACTACTTCGTAGTAAAATTAAGTAAATTATTTCACTAAGCTACTTTATTCATATTCAGGCTAATTAGTTTTGAGTACAGTCTATGCTTAATAGTAAGTTACTTAAATAAGTTAAGGGCTTATCATTTAATAATAATCTCAATATTCTAGCCCAATAAACTACAATTTGTAAAATAATATTTCTATTTAATAAGAAAATGATGCTTTAGTAGAGGTTGAGTTATAAATGGATTAAGTTGTTTAGTAAATCTCAATTTAATTCTCAACAATTCCTGAAATTTTAGCTTAAGTGAATTCAGTATATGCTTTACTTCTAACTTTTGGTTTCATCTTTAGATCTTTTTCCCAGAAAGAGATACTTAAAGAGTTTTTCTTTGTATTTTTATCTAATATGTACTAAGACACATATTAAAAATTACTTCAATCAAGTAAATTAATTGAAGAAAAACCTTAAAGTTAATTAATTAGACAAAATACAGAAGAACTCACTGATGAATAAGAAAAATTTGAAAAAGAGAGATCTCAAAATTTATTTGTACCTTCATTTTTGTCTAAGTTTAAAATTCATATAGAAAAGAGTCAATCAAATGATTTTGTAGTTACTAACGAAAAAGACTAAATACAAATCACAGAAAATAGTAAAAATAATGATTAATTTTTTACCACAGATCGTGAACAATCAAACCAATAATCTAACTCAATTTTTAGCAAGTAAACGAATCTAATGTAAAGGATTTCTCTTGGAGAGCAGAAAGATAATTAATCCAGACAAACTTAACTTTCTAAGTTTAAAAATTCATAGTTAGAAAATTGTAATGAAATTAGCAATTTAAGTAATAATATAATAAATTAAAATCTAAATATCAAAGTCAGTTCTGATAAAAACTATGAACATTTAGTTTAAAAATTAAGAAATATTTAAGATGCAAAAATCTTTGAAAAAGCTAAAAAGTTTATTTTCTCGAAAAGGTAATTTTTTTATTTATGATGATTTCTTTGGTTAAACAAGATTTAACTTAAATATTTTATTTTATTAAAAAGACCTTAATTTAAATGTCCAAAATTTTCAGATTTGTGGAACAAAAAGAAAAAAGAGAAAGTTGAAACATTTGAATTTTAGTCTCATAAAAATAAAATAGAGCAATAAATTTATAAATAACTTAGTATTTTAGATTTATATAAAGACTTCCTATTTATTAAGAAGTCTATTATGATGCTTCTAAGCAAAGAATAGTTAGCTGTCATGCATCTAGTAGGATATTCTTCTGAATATTAAACAGATTAAAAATTAAGTATTTAATTTTTTTCATAATATTTTTGAAGTTAAATTTTTAAAAAATATTTTTAGGTATTTCAAATAACAAAAGTTACTTGGAACAGCAGTAAGATATCCTGAATTCATAAGATTTATAATCCAAATATGTTCAGTCATTTTTTTAGAAATTCTAAAAAAAAATAGATATTGATGAGTCATCTGAAATTGATAAAAGAATCATTTCTTCAACTATTAAAAAACAATGAAAAAATTTTTATGTATTAAAACAGATTTAGTTTTATTAAAAATTATATGTCTGTCTGTCTATTTATTTATTTTTGTTAAAAATTACACATTTGATTTTAATTCATTCTTTTGATTTTAAAATATATTTTAAAGCTTTAGTTAATTATTTAAAAATTTTTTCATTTATATTTTAATATCCTACTTCTTTGCATTTAAAATTTTCACTAAAAAATTAGTTTGATTTATGATTTTAAGCCAATAAAAATATTTATTTTTACAAATTGCTTAACTATTTATAGGATTTTCATTATTTTTATATTAAAATAAACATTGATTATTTATGATAAACTTTCACTTAAAAAAACTTTTTTCTTCTATTTAGAATACTCTTCTTTCTCTCTTTCTCTGAATAAATTTTCTAAATTTAATAATAAAATCAGATAGTAACTAAATCACTCACAAAATTACTTACGATCTAATTAATATTTTATGATATTTTCAACTTAAATAAATTTAGGTATAATAAAAGTGAAATGAATTATTTTATTTTAAGATTATATCTAAAAAATTAGCTAATTACATATCTAGCTAGCTAGAGTTTTGAAATAACTAAGAAAATTAATGTGCTAATTAGTTTTATTAAAAATTATATGTCTCTGTCTATTTATTTTTGTTAAAAATTACACATTTGATTTTAATTCATTCTTTTGATTTTAAAATATATTTTAAAGCTTTAATTAATTATTTAAAAATTTTTTCATTTATATTTTAATATCCTACTTCTTTGCATTTAGAATTTTCACTAAAAAATTAGATAGTTTGATTTATGATTTTAAGCCAATAAAAATATTTATTTTTACAAATTGCTTTCATATTTATAGGATTTTCATTATTTTTATTATAAAATTAACATTGATTATTTATGATAAACTTTCACTTAAAAAAACTTTTTTCTTCTACTTAGAATACTCTCCTTTCTCTCTTTCTCTGAATACATTTTCTAAATTTAATAAAAAAATCAGATAGTAACTAAATCACTCACAAAATTACTTACGATCTAATTAATATTTTATGATATTTTCAACTTAAATAAATTTAGGTATAATAAAGGGAAATGAATTATTTTATTTTATTTTAAGATTATATCTAAAAAATTAGCTAATTACATATCTAGCTAGCTAGAGTTTTGAAATAACTAAGAAAATTAATGTGCTAATAATTTCATCAATTTTTAAAAAAATTTAATTTATCATTTCTTACAAATATTAAACAATCACATACAAAAAGAACTTTTGATTGCTTAATATATGATTCATTCATTATTATTATTTAAAATTTACATTGAAAATTTTTAATTTAGCAAAAATAAATGCAGGAACAGCTATAATAGTTATTTCTTCTATATATTATAATAATTCTTTTTTTTATTTGACCAAATTAAAAAATTAAAGAGATAAAAGTTAATTAATATTTGAATATAAATATAATTAATTAAATTTTTAATAAATTGCAATTCAATAATTTTTGAAAGAAAGAAAGAAAGAAAAAATAAATGATAGAGGAGATAAAATATTTTAACAATCTAGAAGAAGTAAATATTTTTTTTATTATTAATAATGTTTCAATTTATTTTTTTTATTAAAAAGTTTTTAAAATCTTCACTTTAATCGCATTAGACTCTGCATATTGAACTGAGGTATAATTCATTTATTATTATTCATGTCTTTTTATTTAATCTTCAAGTTATTTATAAAATATTGAAAATTAATTATTTTTTAATATATTAAATTTATTTTTACTAAATTTTTAAAATAAATTAATAAATTCATTATTTATTTAATTTTTGTTTTTAAAATTTTTTGTTATATTTTGCTTCAGCTAAATAATTTACTATATTTTTTCAATAATAAAAGTAGGTAATAAATTTAAAATAAAGGTGCTTCAGACTTAGGTTTTGGATTATCTAACTGCACTAATCTTTCAAATTTGATACTTGATCTTAAGTAAAAACTGTTTATTTTTTTTTGAATGGATTGTGATATTTTTGAAAATAAAAAGAAATTTAAATAATATTTAATATATATTAGCTTTTTATTTGATTTATTGTTTTATCTTTATTTCTTTACTTCTAACTAATTATTTAACTTTATATTATTAATTTCTTCAATATTTAAAAAGTGAAAACGAAATAGGTGCTTAAGGTGCATCAAACTTAGGTTCTGGTTTAGGAAAGTGTGTTAATCTCTCAATTTTGACACTTCACTTATAGTAAAAACAGTTTATTTATTTATTTATTTGTTTTGGATTATGATATTTTTGAATATAAAAATGAATAGAAAAAACTAACTAATTATTTTAATTTATTTATTTGTTAGCTTTTTATTTGATTTATTTATTTTCTTTTTTTATTATGATTGTATTTTTATTTTTAATTTCTTTGTTTGATTATTTTTTAATTTAACTTATTTTTTGATTTACAACTTTTGATCCTACTGATTAATTTATTTTTTATTATTACATTTAATCTTAATTTTATAATTGTAACTAACTAACTAACTAATTAACTATATTTTATTTCTTCAATATTTAAAAAGACTTAATTAAATTCGTGATAAAGGTGCATAAGAAGTAGGTTCAGGTTTAGAAAAGTGCATTAATCTCTCAAATTTAACACTTAATCTAAAGTAAAAACAATTTATTTATTTATTTATTTTAGATTGTGATATTTTAAATATAAAAATGAAATAAAAAAATAATTCTTTTAATTTATTTATGAGCTTTTTAATTGATTTATTTTCTTTTATTTATTATTCTTGTGTTTTTTTTTATTGTTTGCTTGTTATTTACCTCATTTTTAGATTTTAAACTTCTGTTTTTATGAATTTATTATTTCATATTTTATCTTAATTTTATCCTTCTAAATAATTAATTGACAATATATTATTTATTCAATATTTAAAAAGTAACAATAAAATTGGTGCTTAAGGTGCATCAGACTTAAGTTCTGGTTTAGGAAAGTGCGTGAATCTCTCAAATTTGACAGTTAATTTTGGGTAAAAATAGTTTATTTGTTTTATTTAGGTTGTGATATTTTTAAATTTTAAAAATGAAATAAAAAAAATAATTAACCCTTTTCATTTACTTATTTATTAGCTTTTAATTTGATTTATTTTTATTATATTTGAGTTTTTAATTTATTTTATTTTATTTTTAATTTAACTCATTTTTTCATTTTCAGCTTTTGTTATTATGAATTAATTTATTTCATATTTTATCTTCATTTTTTCCTTCTAAATTACTTATTTATTATTTATTATGTATTAATATTTAAAAAGTAACAATAAAATTGGTGCTTAAGGTGCATCAGAATTAAGTTCTAGTTTAGGAAAGTGCGGTAATCTCTCTAATTTGACACTTGATTTTGGGTAAAAAACAGTTTATTTGCTTTTGTAGTGATATTTTCGAATATAAAAATGTATTGAAAAAAAAAATTAACTTTTTTAATTTACTTATTTATTTATTTATTTATTTATTTATTTATTTATTTATTTATTTATTAAATAGCTTTTAATTTTGGTTTATTTTCTTTTTTATTTTATTATCTTTGTGTTTTTTTTAATTTCTTACTTTATTTGTTTGCTTTTTAATTTAACACATTTTACATTTTCATCATTTCTATTTATGAATTAATTAATTTATTTCTTATTTTTTAGCATTTTTCCTTCTAAATAACTTTTTAACAATATATCACCTCTTCAATATTTAAAAAGAGAAAATTAAATTACTGATAAAGGTGCATCAGACTTAGGTTCTAGTTTAGAAAGGTGTGCTAATCTCTCAAATTTGGCACTTTATCTTGGGTAAAAACAGTTTATTTGTTTTGAATTATGATATTTTTGTACAAAAATGAATTAAAAAAAAATAAGAAACTCTTTTAATTTATTTAAGCATTTTATTTTATAATATTTATTTTTTTTATTTTGTTTGTGTTTTTTTATTATTAATTAATTAATTAATTTCTTATTATTTCACTTTTTATTGTAACTAACTAATTAACTATATTTTATTTCTTAAATATTTAAAAAGTAACAACTAAATTGGTAATAAAGGTGCATTAAACTTAGGTTTTAGCCTAGAAAAGTGCCTTAATCTCTCAAATTTGACACTTAATCTTGGGTAAAATCAATTTATTTGTTTTTTATTGAAATACTTTTGAATAAAAAAGTGTTTTGAAAAATAATTATTATTTATTTATTTTTTTTATGCTTGTGCTTTATTTTTAATTTCTTTGTTTTTTTGTTTATTTATTTTTTAATTTAAGTCATTTTTTTGATTTTCAACTTTAGCTTTTATTAATTAATTAATTTATTTCTTATTATTTTACATTTTATCTTCATTTTTTCCTTCTTCATAACTATTTTAGCTCTATACTAACTATTTCTTAAATATTTAAAAAGGTATAATAAAATTGGTGCTCAAGGTGCATTAGACTTAGGTTCTGGTTTATAAAAGTGCACTAATCTCTAAAATTTGACTCTTAATCTAAAGTAAAAGCAATTTATTTTTTAAGATTGTGATCTTTTTGAAAAAATAAATGAATTGAAAAAAAATATAATTTCTTTATTTATTAACTTTTTATTTGATTTATTTTCTTTCTTTTTTTATTTTGTTCGTGTTTTTTATTAATTTATATGCTTGTTTGTTTGCTTTTTAATTTAACTCAATTTTTTATTTTCAACTTTTGCTTTTATGAATTAATTAATTAATTTATTTATTTATTTCTTACTATTTCACATTTTATCTTCGTTTTTTCCTTCTAACAAACTAATTAACAATATACTTTTTCTTAAATATTTAAAAAGTAACAATTAAATTGGTGATATAGGTGCATCTCACTTAGGTTCTTCTTTAGGAAAATGCACTAATTTATCAAATTTGACACTTGATCTAACGTAAAAACAGTTTATTCGATTTTGATTGAGATATGTTTATTTATATAAAAATAAATTGACTTATTTACTAACTTTTTGTTAGATTTATTTTCTTTTTTTTATTTTACTTGTGTTTTTTTTCTAATTTCTTTATTTGTTTGTTTGTTTATTTATTTTTTAATTTAAGTCATTTTTTTGATTTTAAACTTTTGCTTTTATAAATTAATTAATTTATTTATATATTTCTTATTATTTCACATTTTATCTTTATTTTTTTTTTGTAAATAACTAATTAACTATATATTATTTCTTCAATATTTAATAAGGTTTAATAAAATTGGTGCCTAAGGTGCATCAGGCTTAGGTTATTGTTTAGGAATGTGCACTAACCTATCAAATTTGACACTTCATCTATAGTAAAAACTGTTTGTGATATTTTTGAATATAAAAATAAATGAATTAATTAATAATAATTAACTCTTTTACTTTACTTATTTAAGTATCTTTTTTCATTTATTTTCAATTTTTATTTTTATTATCTTTATGTTCTTTTTAAACAGCTTTCATTTATTATTAGTTTGTTTCTTTTTTAATTTAACTCATTTTTTCATTTTCAAATATTGTTTTACTAATTAATTAACTTATTTATTTATAAATCATATTTTTTCATTATAAAAAACAATTAACAATATATTTTTTCTTCAATATTTAAATAGATATATTAAAATTGGTGCTTAAGGTGCATCAGAGTTAGGTTCTTGTTTAGGAAAGTGCATTAATCTCTCAAATTTGACACTTAATTTTTAGTAAAAACAGTTTATTTGGTTTAGATAGTTATATTTTTTAAAATAAAATGAATTTAAAACTAAATAACTAACTTTTTTAATTTACTTATTTATTTATTAACTTTTAAATTGATTTATTTTCTTTTATATTTTATTATCTTAGTGTGTTTTTTTTTTATAATTTCTTTCTTTTTTTGTTTTTAATTTTATTTATTTTTTGATTTTCAACTTTTGCTTTTATTAACTAATTTATTTTTTATTATTAGACATTTTATTTTCATTTTTTCCTTCTAACTAGTAAATAAACAATATATTATTTCTTTAATATTTAAAAAGTAGCAACTAAATTGGTGCTTAAGGTGCATCAGACTTAAGTTCTGGTTTAGGAAAGTGCATTAATCTCACAAATTTGACACTTTATCTTTAGTAAAAGCAGTTTAATTGTTTTGTTTTATGATATTTTTGAATATGAAAATGAATTAAAAAATAAAAACAAACACTTTCAATTTATTTATTTATTAGTTTCTATCTAATTTTTTTTCTTTTTTTTATTATCATGTTTGTGTTTTTTTTAATTACTTTGTTTGTTTGTTTCTAAATTTAACTCATAGATTAATTTATTTCTTACTATTTCACACTTTATCTTCATTTTTTATAACTTACTAACTAACTATATATAATTTCTTAAATATTTAAAAAGATTTAATTAAATTGGTGCTTTAGGTGCGTCAGACTTAGGTTCTGGTTTCAAAAAGTGCTCTAATCTCTCAAATTTTACACTTGATCTTGAGTAAAAATAGTTAATTTGTTTTAAATTGTGATATTTTTGAATTTAAAAAGGAATTGAAAAATAAACTCTTTAATTTACTTATTTATTCGCTTTTTATTTTATTTTATTTATTTTCTTTTTTATTTTGTTTGTATTTTTTTATTAATTTCTTTATTATTTGTTTGTTTGTTTGTTTTTTAATATAAGCCATTTTCTCATTTTCAACTTTTGCTTTTATGAATTAATAAATTTATCTCATATTTTATTTATCTTTAATTTTTCCTTCTAGATAACTATTTTAATTTAATGCTATCTCTTCAATATTTAAAAAGGTATAATAAAATTGGTGCTTAAGGTGCATCAGACTTAGGTTCTAGTTTAGGAAAGTGTGTTAATCTCTAAAATTTGAAACTTAATCTAACGTAAAAACAGTTTGTTTCATTTGGTTTATGATATTTTTGAATATATTGAATTGAAAAAAAAAATAATTTAATCTTTTAATTTACTTATTTATTTATTTATTTATTTATTTTCATTTTTATTATCTTTGTGTTTTTTTTAATTGAACTCATTTTTTTGATTTTCAACTTATGCTTTTGTTAATTAATTAACTTATTATTTCACATTTTATCATCTATCTTCACTTTTTCCTTCTAACAAACTAATTAATTAATTAGATACAATTTCTTAAATATTTAAAAAGTAACAATTAAATTAGTGATGAAGGCATATTAGACTTAAGTTCTGGTTTAGGAAGATGTGTTAATCTCAAAAATCTGATACTTAATCTTAGGTAAAACAGTTTATTTTGTTTTGGATTGTGATATTTTTGTTTGAATATAAAAAATGAATTGAAGAAAATATAACTAACTCTTTTAATTTACTTATTTATTTATTAGCTTTTTATTTGATTTATTTCTTTTTATTTTTATTATATTTGTGCTGTTTTTTAATTTATTTATTTATTTCTTTCTTTCTTTATTTACTTTTTAATTTAACTTTTTTATAATTTCACATTTATTTTTTCCTTCTAACTAACTAATTAACAAATTATTATTTCTTCAATGTTTAAAAAGTCATAATAACTTTGGTGCAACTAGTGTATAAGTCTTAGGTTCTGCTTTAGAAAATTGCACTAATCTCTCAATTTTGACAATTAATCTTGAGTAAAAACAGTTATATCAATCTTTTTTAATTTATTTATTAGCTTTTTATTTTATTTATTTCTTTTTATTTTTTAATTTAAATCATTTATTTTTTTATTTTTAACTTTTGCTATTATTAATTAATTAATTAATTAATTAATTTTTACTATTTCATATTTTATCATCATTTTCTCATTTTCAATAACTAATGAATATATTTTTTCATCAATATTTTAAAAAGTCTAAATTAAATTGGTGATGAGTATCCATTAAGCTTAGGTTTTGGTTTAAGAATGTGTACTATTCTCTAAGATTTGACGCTTAACCTAAAGTAAAAATTATTTTTATTTTTTTTAGATTTGTGATATTTTTGAATAT